AAGTAAGAATGAGAGATACGGAAAGGTTAAAAAGTATCTGTAGTCCCAACTCGCCTCCACCACACACATACACTGTAAAATATGCCTACCGCGTATGAGGGTGGTCTTAATTTTAATCACTTTATTTTTTTGTTACTTAAAAATAGATCTACTGCTATCCTACTTTCTCCAGAGACGCAGTTCTCCTGGGAAGGAATTTAGACAATTTTATAAGATTATTGTAGTGGTTAAGAGCTACAGCCGCTAACCAAAAGGTCAGCAGTTCGAATCCACCAGGCGCTCGTTGGAAACTCTATGGGGCGGTTCTGCTCTGTCCAGTAGGGTCGCTGAGTCGGAATCCATTCGATGGCAACCGGCGGGCGGGCTATAAGATGATGCTTTTCCACAGTTAAGTTTGCAGTCGGCGGCCCAGCAGCAAGCGTGGGTCTTGAACTACATTTCCCAGAGTGCAGTTCTAGGAGGATTCTAGGCAATGTGGCAAAGACATGTTTTTGACAATCATGGTTAACTTTGCAGCTGTAGGGCTCCGCAGCAGGCGTGGGGCTTGAACTACATTTCCCAGAGTGCAGTTCTAGGAGGATTCTAGGCAATGTGGCAAAGACATGTTTTTGACAATCATGGTTAACTTTGCAGTTGGAGGGCTCCGCAGCAGGCGTGGGGCTTGAACTACATTTCCCAGAGTGCAGCTCTAGGAGGATTCTGGGAAGTGTGGCAGAGGCAGCAATCCTCCCTCTGCAGAAGGGTGGCCGAACTTGACAGGAACGTTTGAAGTTTCCTAGTTTCGGCTGATTCTTGAGGCCTCAGAAGGCGTCCCCCGACACATAAAATTCAGAGTGAGTACAGCGGAACAGAAGACTGTTCAGGATCTAAGTGCAGGAAGGACTTTATGGGGAGGCATAACCGGAACTTGAAAAAAACTCTTGGTGACAGCATTTTGCGATTTTAGCTTAGTCTCTCTCTCAGAAGCCGGGGGAATGACCACAGTTTTGCATCATAACTCGTGGAATTATCTCATTAACCACAGCCAATAATTTTATGATACTTTTCTGGTACTTTTCAAAGTTATGTCAAGAACTTGACTACTTGAACTTCTCTATAAACTCTGTGACAACCAACTCATGAGTCAGCAGGCTGTGATAATCCACAGTAAACTAATGTTAATTTAGTAGCAGAAACTATGCTAAACCTCAGGCAGCCAAGCACAGTGGCCCACACAGAGTAGTCGGTAGCCATAACGACCAACCAAAGGGCTCTTGCAGTTCTCAGGATCCAAGGAATTCACCAAAGGCGTTCCCTTTGGCTCATAGGGAGTGTGGTGAGGTGTTTCTGGGAAATCGGCCTGGAAATAGCCTAATTGTGCAGGAATTATTTTAATATACTTTAGTCCCAGGAGCTATTTTAATATACTATTTATGCTAGTATATATATGTCCTTTTATTTAAAATTAATTAGGTTATACCAAACAAACTAAATATTACTTGCTTTTTTAAAACGTTAAAAAAAATTAATAATATTTTATTGTGTTTTTGGTGAAGATTTACATAGCAGTTTAAAAGTTCCCATTCAACAATTTGTACATAAGTTGTTCAGTGACAATGGTTACATTCTTAACAATGCATGAACATTCTCATTATTTCCATTCTGGTTGTTCTGTTTCCATTAATCTAGTTTCCCTACCCCCTTACATTCTCATCTTTGTTTTAAAGTAATTGCTAACCCTTTGGTCTCATATAGGATTTTTTTTAAAGGAGCACAGTACTTACAGGTGATAGTCATTAATTTGTGAGCCAATTTGTTATTTAGCTACAAGGTGACCTCGGGTTAGTTTCAGTTCAAGGTTTGAAAAGTGTCTCAGGGCAGTAGTCTCAGGGAGTCCTCCGGTCTCAACCAGTCCAGCAGATCTAGTTTTTTATTTGTTTGTTTTGTAATTTGAGGTTCTGTTCTGCATTTTTCTCCCATTTTATCAGGGTCCATCTGTTGTAGCCCTGATCAGAATGATTGGGAGTAGTAGCCAGGCACCATTTAGTTCTTCTGGTCTCAGGGTAGATGAGGCTGTGGTTTGTGTAGATTGTTAGTCCTGTAGACTAGTTTCTTCTCTGACTCTTTGGTTTCCTTCTTCTCTTTTGTTGCAAACAAGTAGAGACCAATAGTTGTATCTTTGATGGCTGCCCACAAGCTTTTAAGACACCAGACACTGCTCACCAAACTAGGATGTAAACCAGGATTCATTTAAAAAGTGTTGTTAGTTGCTATGGAGTCTGCTTCAACTCATGGCAACTTTATGTACAACAGAACAAAACGTTGCCTGGTCCTGTGCCATTCTTAGGATCGTTCGTATATTTGAGTCCATTGTGGCAATCCATCTCATTGAGGGTTTCTCTCATTTTTTTGGCTCTCTACTTTACCAGGCATGATGTTCTTCTCCAGTGGTTGGTCTGTCCTGATGACCTATCCAAAGTAAGCAAGCTGAAGTCTCGCCATCCTCACTTCTAGGGAACATTCTGGTTGTATTTTTTCTAAGACCGATTTGTTCATCCTTTTGGCAGTCCATGGTATATTCACTATTCTTTGCCAGCACCCAGTTTGAATGCATCAATTCTTCTCTTTTCCTTTTTGAAAGTCGTTGTTGTTAGCCACAATCTAGTTGGTCCCCGACTCATAGTGACTCCACATGCAACAGAATGAAACGCTGACTGGTCCTGCACCGTCCCCGTGGTTGGTTGTGGATTGGACTTGGTGATCCATAGAGTTTTCATTAGCTGATTTTCAAAAGTAGGTTGCCAGGCCTTTCTTCCTAACTTTTTAAAAACATAATAATAATATATTCTGAACATCCTTCCCTGTTGCTACCTATTTGTATTTCCACTGTTATCATGTTTTCTATTTCTTTTTAACAGCTGTGTATTATTCCATCATATGATAATTTTCAGTTAACATTCTTATATATATTATTTCCTTCCTAGGATAAATTCCTAGAAATGGAATTGCTAAGTGAAAAGGTTGCTTATTTAACATTTTGATAGATATTTCCAAATTGCCCTCTAAAAATATTTTATCAGTTTACATTATCAGAGTTGTGTATGAGGCAGAAATACTGACTTTAAGTTTATTTCTGACAGTATTTCATACAAGTCATTGGATTATTAAAATAGAGGTTATACCTTTAATATTCTCCGAGAGTGCTTTTAACCTTCATGGGATTTATCACAAACTGCTTTCTGTGAAAGTTAGTTATATATTTGTTTTCTCTCTCTTGCTAAAATTCCTGGAGGGGAGGGGTTTTTATCCTGTACATTTTGTGTCCCTTAAAGAACCTTGCATAAAGTAGGTATTCAATAAATGCTTTGTTGAATGGCATTTGCTAAATATATCTTACCCTTGGCTAGGACGTGGATTTTAGCCAAAACTGCACACGGATTAGTCCTCAGTGATTCATAATTATACAACCAAGAAGTAGGCTAAATATTAGACATTTCTCTATAGATGAGTGTCAGACTTGCTTCCTTTGGGTACAGTTAAAAGGGTGATTTGTTATTGAAGTCCCACAGATTTTCTTGTTTTAATGGGATTTCTTGAGTTTTTTACTGCAAATGTAAAAGGTACTTTTCTTGAGGAAGAAAATACTGACTGATAGACAGTTTAAAAGGAACCACCTTCTGCCAAGTGGATTAAGATACAGAATTTTTTTTCTCTCTTTCCCAGTGAGCTACAAGAAATAGAAAATATCTTGGACCTGTGCTGATTTGCATAGCTGCCTTTTGAAATACTTTCCTAATGGCCTTATATTTTTCTTATCTATAGATTCCTCCTACTTCATTCTGAGAGAGACTTTGGTTTTATGTATTCTGAGAAACTTAGTTCCATTACTCTGGGGATACTCCAGGCCTACTTGTCACTTGGTCTGTCAGGGTTATGCTGTTGTTATGGTGGTAGTGGAGTACTGTCAAATCGATTCTGACTCCTAGCGTTCCTATAGGACAGAGTAGAACTTCCCCGTAGGGTTTCCTAGGCTGTAAATCTTTATGGGAGCACATTACCAGGTCTTTCCTCCTGGGGAGCTGCTGGTGGGTTCGAACTGCCGAACTTCCAGTTAGCAGCCAAGTGCTTAACCACTGCGCCACCAGGGTTGGCTGCTGTTAACATAAACTTCAAAATTTCAGTGGCTTAATATGGTATAGGAACCCTGATGGTTCAGTAGTTAAGAGCTTGGCTGCTAACCAAAAGATCGACAGTTTGAATCCACCAGCTGCTCCTTAGAAACCCTGTGGGGCAGTTCTACTCTGTCTTGTAGCGTCGCTATGCGTTGGAATCGACTTGATGGCAACAGGTTTGGTTTTTTTATATGGTAGAAGTTTATTTTTTGCTTACAAACAGTCCAATGCAGGTAGCTTTCATTGGTGGGTGGCTTTCTTCCATGTAGTGATTCAAGGACCCAGCATTCACCACCTGGTGGCTCTGTCATCATCCCCTATGATGCCTTGAAGTCTTCTAAGCAGCAGGGGGAAAAGAGGATGAAGAAGGCATACACATTTCCTAACTGCTTTGGCCTAGAAGAAATACACATCACTTCTATTCACATTCCATTGATAAAACTTAGTCCTCATCCTGCCTAGACACAAGGGAAGAGAGAAGTTTAGGCCTTGACTTAGCAGCTACCTCCCAGCAACAACTCCATACCGTGGAAGGAAGAGCACAAGGTTTTTGTGGATAGTTAGCTAATTCTAACAATAGCCTATTAGGTAGGCAGAATAGGTATCTATCTTGTAAATTAGGAAAAAGGTACTGAAAAGTTAAGCTGCCACAGCTAGTTAGGTGTAGAACTGCAATTTAGAATCCAGATCACCTGACTCCTATTCAGCTACTCTTTCCTTAATACTACAAAGTGATCCTATCTTGTTTTAAAATATAACCCTACTGGTGATTCCTGACTTTAAATTGCATACTATGACCTTTTTTTTTTTTTTTTTTTTTTAACTCCTCTTCCCTCTAAGGACGTGACAATGTCCCTTTATTGTGGAATAGCCTGCAGGAGAAAATCTTTTTGGTACTATAGGCTGCTGTCAACCTATGTCAATAATGCAAGGTGAGTTTTGACCAACTTGAGCTCTAGTTATTCTGTCGTTGGCCCATTAAATTATAAAATCTAAATATCTCAGCAGCAATCTCATATTAAGGATTAAGAATGTATTATCAGGATTTACCTATAAAGATGTTCATTACAAATTATTTATAGTTGGAAAAATTGCAAACAACCTATATGTCCAATAACACCCATTGCCATCAAGTTGATTCCGATTCACAGCAACCCTATAGGAAAAGTAGAACCGCCCCATAGAGTTTCCAAGGAGTGGCTGGTGAATTTGAACTGCCAACCTTTTGGTTAGCAGCCATAGCTTTTTTTAAAAAATTTTTTTCCCATACAAAAATTTATACATACATTGTTATGTGACTCTAATTGCTCTCCCCATACTGTGACAGCACAGTCCTCCTTTTCACCCCTGATTCCCTATATCCTTTCAACCAGCTCCTAACCCTCTCTGCCTTCCCATTTCACCTCCGGACAGAAGCTGCCCGTTCAGTCTCTTGTACCTACTTGAGCTAAGAGGCACACTCTTGATGAGTATCACTTTATGTCCCACAGTCCAGTCCAATCCCTGTCTGAAGAGTTGGCCTCGGGAATTGTTTTAGTTCTGGGCTGATAGAGAATCCAGGGGCCATGCTTTCCAGGGTTCCTCCAGTCTCGGTCAGACCTTTAAGTCTGGTCTTCTTACTAGAATTTGAGTTCTGCACCCTACCTTTCTCCTGTTCCATCCGGGACTCTTTGTTGTGTTCCCTGTCAGGGCGGTCACTGGTGGTAGCCGGGCACCACCTAGTTCTTCTGGTCACAGGCTGATGAAATCTCTGGTTTATGTAGCCCTTTCTGTCTCTTGGGCTACTACTTTCCTTGTGTCTTTGGTGTTCTTCATCCTCCTTTAGTCCAGCTGGTTGGGGCCAATTGATGCATCTTAGATGGCCGCTTGCAAGCTTTCAAGACCTCAGACGCCACTCACCAAAGTAGGATGCAGAACATTGTCTCAATAAGCTTTGTGATGCCAGTTGACCTAGATGTCCACTGAAAGCATAGTCCCCAGACCCCTACCCCTACTACTCTGTCCCTCAAAGTGTTTGATTGTATTCAGGAAACGTCTTAGCTTTGATTTAGTCCAGTTGTGCTGACTTCCCCTGTAGCCTGTAGCAGCCATAGCTTTAAACCACTGCGCCAGAATGTCTCACACCCTTGAATATCAGTTCTATTAAGATAAGAACTTTGCCTTTTCCACTACGGCACTGCTAGTGCATAAAACGGTGCCTTACATCTATTAGGTAGTGAAATATTGTTGAATAAATGAATGAATAATAAGGAAGGAATTAAATAAATTATGGTACATCCATATGATAGAATATTAATAAACACATTAATAGCTATGTTGAATAATTTTTTATGAGATTTCCTGGAAATATTTTAACTAACCCCAAAACTCTCCAAAGAATTAAACTTCAGTGAAAGGTCGACTAGGGGAAAAAAAATCTGGACCAGCACGGTAAAATGACAAAGGTTTCTTTCTCTCAGGCTGGGGGAATAGTACCCCCTGTGAATATGGTATCACTAGCCTGCTCTCATACAGTTTGGGGTTTAAATTTCTACCACCTCTGTGGTGTGGTCCAACAACTCTCAATGAATTTAAATAATAGTCTTGGACTGATAATATCCCTGGGGCACCTTGTAGAACCAAATGTAAAACCTCTCTGGGTTGATACACTCACAACCAGTCTTGGCACATAGAAAGCTCTGGCAAATGTGAGTGCCCATTCTGAAATTTAAAGGCACTCAAGGATATAATCCTATGTGACAGGGAGTAAGCAAACAACAAAATTGCAGTATTTGTTTTATGTATTGTTGGATATTTAGGTTTTTGCAATTCTCAGACTGAGACTCCGGGAACTATAACAGAATTATTGGTAGAGTCTAAAAAATAAGAATGTAAAAATGAATAAAAAACTCCTTTATAAAGAATGAATCAAAATCCTGAGAAAAGAAGAAAATTCTATCAATAAAGAATATTTTATGATGTGAATAAATTTTATGTATGTTTAAGAAAAAAGGCTACAAAAGTATGATATCAAATAATATGCATCTGTATATGTATGGATACACGATATTAATAATTTGGAGAATTCCAAAGTGTAAACAGTGATCGCTCTAAGTGGTGGGATTAGTGGAACTTTTCCTTTTTTAATTGATAACTATATTTTCTGATTTTTATATAATGACTAACTTTTGCTTTTGTAATTAAAAAAACAGTGAAAGTTTTAAAATAATCTAAATATCTTCAGCCTCTACAATCTTGGTATTGTGGTTCCCATGCTATTATAACTAAAGGAGGAAAATGCATTTTTAAAAATACAGCTTCTGATCGAGAAGAGCATCAGGAACTTTGGGATCTCAGTCCCAGTTCCAGAGAGGTCCTGTGTTTAAGGCCTTAACCTGGGTGTTTTTGTAAGTGTTTTGCTTGCTAGGGTCATTAGGGCAAAGCACAGGTTGTACCATTTATTGTTGTTTTGCAAAGGCAGCAGTGTTTATTCCATTGTTTGTATTTGGAAACTTCTGAGTGGCACATGTCTCTCCTTTGACATAGATTGGGTATTTGCCCCAGGAGGCTGCAGTCACTCATCACAAATTTAAAAATATCATCATGAGTCTTAAGATCTCATGTTTCTTTTGTCTTCTGCTATAAAGAGCTCACTATATCCCCTTTCATCAGCAGGCTAAATGGGTTCTTAATGATGCCACTGGCGCTTTTATCATTTTGCTTTGTATGTTCATTTTGAGCCAACTCTGCCTTCTGGTTTTATAAAAGCTCCCAGATCCTACAGAAAATGTCTGTGAACTGTGTTTCTCACTTAAGAGACAAAAATCTGCCGTATGCCTGAGAGGCTGTTTTAGGGCTTTGGACAGGCAAAATGATTAACCCTAAGGTCCCAGAAGGAGATTCCACATTCACCCCACTGAGTCACATTGACAGACCCTGACCTGATTCCCAAGGCTCTTGAGGGGATAGACACAGAACATTCTTAATGAAGGTACTAGAAGAGCCTAGAACTTGCTCCAATACTGTCTCTTTTAGAGAAACCAATTATAGGATGTCTCTTTTTCCACATATTTATTAGGGATAAATATTATCCCTACTTGTTGTTGTTAGGTGCCATCGAGTCAGTTCCGACTCACAGCGACCCTATAGGACAGAGTAAAACTGCCCCATAGGGTTTCTGGTGGATTTGAACTGCCATCCTTTTGGTTAGCAGCCAAATAGGTTAAATATAGGCTTCACTCCATCAATGATCCATTCAGTAGAGATAAGGAGAGTAAAGATAAATGTTCATTTTGGGGCTGTATGTTTGAAGTAAGGGTACATTGAAGATAAAATTTGCTCTTTATCTTCTGCAGGTTGAGTGAAAATTAACGAAGGTATAGTGTTTGTTCTTTGTTTGCAGAAGTGAAGTCTGCACCCGTCTGTAGATAGTCTGTGGTTGACATTTTATCACTGTGCTTGTTTTCCTTTCTCTCCACTGCGTGTAAATTCTTGCCTCACAGTGTAATATTGGCAAAGTACCTTGAAGTTCAATTCAGTAGATATTTATTACCCTTGAAGGTCAACTCAGTAAATGTTTATTGAATTGAACTATTCACTGTGCTAATTACTGGAAATGAAAAGCTGAGTAAGGCCAACCCTGCCCTTAAGGAGATCATAGTCTTGCAGGCCACCACCTATCTGTCAGTTTGTCATACTGTGGTGGCTTGTGTATTGCTATGATGCTGGAAGCTATGCCACCGGCATTTCAAATATCAGCAGGGCCACCCATGGTGGACAGGTTTCAGTGGAGCTTCTAGACTACGACAGACTAGGAAGAAAGGCCTGGCAATCTACTTCTAAAATTAGCCAATGAAAAACAATGGATCACAGCAGAATATTGTCCGATATAGTGTTAGAAGATGAGCCCCCTAGCTGGAAGGCACCACTCAATAGCCACAACAGTGGACTCAGCCATACCAGCAACCATGAAGATGGTACAGGATCGGACAGCATTTTGTTCTGTTATACATAAGGTAGCCATAAGTCAGAGGTGACTCGACAGCAGCTAACAACAATAACAAGTCTTGCAGGGGAGATAGGTGAATTAAAAAATAGTATAACAAAAGGGCAACCACAGAAGTATGAGCAAGGTACACAGTAGGACAAAGGAGGGAATGATTGCCTGCAGCCACCTCAGATAGTTTTTGGAGCAAGTTAGGATGTAAATAAATAAAAGAAAATAACCACGGTAGGAGAGGGATTGCAGGAGCAGAATTCTAAAAGATGAGTACTGTACAAGTAACAAAGTGTGGTTTTGTAATGCTTTCATTATTTCCCAAATACAGGTATATATTTGAACTGAAGGAAGATGACGATGCATGTAAAAAAGCCCAGCGTACAGGAGCATTTTACCTCTTCCATAGCCTGGCTCCTTTGATTCAGAAATCAGAGCATCACCATCAGTACCTGGCCCCCCGGTATAGTCTATTAGGTAAGCCCAAAGTGGACCAATAGAGTCAACTAGCCTGTTGCCCCTAAGCACAATTCAGTCCATATTGAATCTCTTAGAAGGATCCTTTGACTTTAGAGTCTAGATTTTTCAAACAGCTTCTAAGTCTCAAGCTTGTGTAACTGTTTCTGCCAATTAATAATCTAGTATATGAACCTGAGTTGCCCAGTCAAATATTTTTTTGTGATGATATTAACCACTAATGACTTAGGCTGGAGGTTGGCAAAACTGCAGTCCAAATCAGGCCCATGGGCTATCTTTGTAAATACATTTTTATTGGAACACAGCCACACTTTTTAGTTTACATATTGTCTATGGCTGCTTTTGCACTGCAGTGGCAGAGTTGAGTAGTTCTAACAAAGACTGGATGGCCCACAGAGCTTAAACTATTTACTATCTCTCTACAGAAAAACTTGGCCAACCCTTGCCTTACGTTAGTGATTTCCTACATCCATAGAGTTATACACTAGTGAAAATTCACATAATGACTTTATTTTTCCTAGAAGGGTAAAAATTAATTATTTTTTCCTAGAAAGGTAAAAATGAATTAAAATTAATTTGTTTTGAGAATTTTTTAACTCTAAATACATTACCAGTGAATTTCACCTGGGTCAGATGTTGGAGTACTTGGATAGGTAGTTTCTACCAGTGCAAAGGCATTCAACTGTGTGGATCATAACAAATTATGGATAATATTATGAAGAATGGGAATTCCAGAACACTTAATTGTACTGATGCAGAACCTGTACACAGACCAATACACAGTTGTTCGAATAGAACAAGGGGTTACTGTGTGGTTTAAAATCAGGAAAGGTGTGTGTCAAGGTTGTATCCTTTCACTATGCTTATTCAGTCTGTATGCTGAGTAAAAAATCTGAGAAGCTGGACTACATGAAGAAGAACGGGGTATCAGGATTGGAGGAAGACTCATTAACAATCTGCGTTATGCAGATGACACAACCTTGCTAGCTGAAAGCAAAGAGGACTTGGAGCAGTTACTGATGAAGGTCAAAGACTACAGCCTATATGGATTACACCTCAACATAAAGAAAACAAAAATCCTCACAACTGGACCAATAAGCAACATCATGATAAATGGAGAAAAGATTGAAGTTGTC